AGGGTAGCTTGAGTGGGGTTGGGGGGGAGTAATAGTTTGGGATGCTTACAGAGAAGTACCAGGAACAGAATATAGAAGCTGCACAAGGGAGGAGCAGTGGAATGATGGCTGCTTTGAGATGAGGTGAGGCAAGGCTTCCCAGCAACAGAAAAATAGGCTACCTATAGAATTAAAACAATTACAAATGGAAATTTTAGCTGTAGCTGAGCCAGCGACACAGATGACTGTGTGGGATTGTACAGGCACAGAATTGATTTTTGGAATGGTGCAAAGACACTGTGTAAATCAACTGTACCCATATACATACACTGTTTTATGGAGATCTCTAGTAGGAATACAAGGCAGATATGAATTGACATGCTGGTCTAGTGAAGAGGTGCAGAACATCTGTTGATTTGAGAGGCCCCAGCATGCTTTGCCTGGCATGTTAAAGACTATTGCTTCAGAAGTGAGTGTTCCTTAACCCTCCATAAGTCTACAATATGCAAAAAAGATGCAACATTTTCAGCCTTACTCATTCTTGGTGGGTGCACAGAGGGAATGTTGATAGACAATATTTTTGCATTTCTAATCCCGGGCAATATTATGTTTCCAGCAAATTGTTCAACTACAATATATATTACAGCAAACATATCAACCGGGCATGTTAAGATAACTAGACTTCTGTGTCTTCATCATACCTATCAATCAGAAATGCATTGATTCTAATCAAGGAGCAGCCTTTGACATGAGTGATGTTGACAGAGACTGACTCCTGGAAAATTAGCCTGATCCTTTTAAAACACAGAATGCAGCCTTTATATACACTATTGTGTCAAGTTACTTTGTCCAAAGGCACAATGGACATATGAAATAGTTTGCATATGAATATTCAATTCTTAAATATCTTTGTTTTCTTAGAGGAGTACAAGGAGAGTGGAGAAAATGGAAATACGAGGGTGTTAGCTAGCCAGTAGGCTTAAATGTCATAGCAGTAATTGAGCTGCCCAGAAATCATCTGTACTAGTGCTTTTTCTGCTTTGCCAATAAGATTCCTTTTGTGCTTACTGTTTAAAAAAGGACATCAGTTAGCGTTTGCTTATTGTAATAAATAGATATTTGGATCAAGTACAATCTTAGCAGAAAAAGCAAGCCTTTAATTCCTGCAACATTTATGGAAACAGAACTGTCAATCTGAGTTGTCTCTCAAATGCTCATCCAGTTTTACCCCTTTCAGCAAAAAAAGATCACAATCAAATATATTCAAAAGATTAGGCTACAAAATTACATGTATGCAAATGTCTTGGTTTGATTGAAATGTATTAATTTTGTATAAAGAGTTACTAGGTACTGTAGAAAAAAGGTTCAGAACTAAAATAGAAATCAGTTCAGTTTGGGGATTTGAAAAATATAATTTCCTGTATGTTTATTAGGGAATATCCTGCAGAACGTATTTTTGAGGGAACATGCAGAACTTCAGGTTGCAAATTCTTTATTCATGCAATCTCCACTCCCTCTTCTGCCCCTCTAATAAAGCAATAGCTTAGAGAGATGAACCTGGTTAACACGTATCAAAAATCCCAACAGACTCAGCTAAGATTGGAAAGAACTCCAGCCTGGCATTCTAGATTGCTGCTGATGGTCTATACAGATAATGAACGAGTGTAGACCAATATCTGACTCAATATAGAAACAGTTTACTGAGTGCAGTGACCCCCATTTATCAGCCACCGGAGTTTTGCATAGCTCACCCTCCAGCAATTCTATGTGAAACTTTAAAATCAAGACAAATGTAATTAAGTTACCTTTGGTTCTTATTCTCATTGTAGATTATTTGAATTTAATTGTTCCTAGATGTTTTCTTTCAGTAAAACGGGCATGATGAAAGGAACTGAGGGTTGGTTCACTTTTATAGCACTTGCTTTGTCTGTCTGTGTGTAGTTATGTATGACGCATTTGTGTACTCTGTTGTGTATAAAAAATACACTGTACTGCTATGGCTAAATAACATTTTTATTATTTTTATGCAAGATAGGGTCTTCTATGTATTTTGAACTGGTTGACTATTCCTGGTTTGTACTCTCGCCCCCCCACCTCCAATCTATCTATTACAAGCTGCTCTACTAACTTGGAGTTTTAAGATCACAGATGCTAAGTAAGTCCTTTGATTGCCAAGAATTGCAAATTCAGACTCCTGGGAAATGAACTGATATACCTGTTTCCTCCCTAATCTCCCCCCCCTCCAAGATTTGCCCTTTATTAGCTGTGTGAGATTTTAGAAGCAATATTAGATTTGCATAGATTTCCTCTTTCATGGAGATGTTCCAGTCTGCTTATAGCAAACTCAATACAGCTGTCGACTACTTAGCTTGTGCCTTGTATAAGTGAAACAACTATTAGAGATTAAACACTTGTCATTAGAACTAATGTGCTTTTTAACTGAGGCACTTCATAATGCCAGCTGCAAGCCAGAGTGATTAATCATTGAGTGATGCAATGTTGACATGCATATGTGAATCAGCTGGAACGATTTCTGATCATGACTTGGCTATAATAAAAACTACAGAGGATATTGTGCCAATAATATGAAACTCTGGAAGGTTTAGTCCTCCTTCTTTGCTGTTTTTTTCAAGTCTAATAGCAGCTGTTTAACAGGATGAAATTTAACCAATAAACTTTTCCCCAACAAGGAACTCCAGTTCTGGAGAGAACAGGATTTGTTCAGCCCCTTGAGGCATATTGTTCCATCAGGAAAAACTTATGTTCAGAGCATTACCTTCTCATAAAAGATAATGCTATAGGATCAGCAGTGGAAGGGAGAACCGAGTTATCAGTTAATGGGTTCCTTTTAATTTCAAAAAAAAGGCTGGCCTGCCAATTAAAGCTATGAATTAAAAATCCACTCATTTAATTATCAGCTGGATGTTCTCAAACTTAAGCATACCACTCCATCTATCTACACCCATTTTTTTAAGCTGGTAATATAAGAATAATCTGCATAATAAATTCTCCTTATCTAAACTGAATATGAATCTGTATCCTATACAGGTAGTCCTCATGTTACAACCGTGATTCATCGAAGTTACAACAGCACTGAAAAATATGACTTATGACAAGTCTTCTCACTTAAGACAATTGCACATCCTCACAGGTCTCGTGTTCAGAATTCAGGCACTTGACAATTGGCATATATTTATTGCAGTTGTAGTATCCCAAGGTAGTACATCATCATTTGCAAGCTTTTCAGACAGCTTCTGACAAGTAAAATCAATGGTGAAATCCAGACACGCTTAATAACTGCATGATTCACTTAAGAAGTGCAGTGATTTGCTTAACAACCATAGCAAAAAAAGGTCATAAAATCAGGTGTGACTGACTTAACGACCTTGGTTAGTAATGGAAATTCTTGCCCCAATTGTGATCATAAGTTGAGAAATACCTGAGTAGCTTGGGTTACAGTTTCTCCTAAGGGAAAGGGTATCTTCAGGGACTAATTCTGTTTAGTTGTGGTGGCGCAGTGGTTAGAATGCAGTACTGCAGGCTAACTCTGCCCACTGCCAGGAGTTCAATCCTGACCGGCTCAAGGTTGACTCAGCCTTCTATCCTTCTGAGGTCGGTAAAATGAGAAGCCATATTGTTGGGGGGGGGGCAATATGCTGACTCTATAATCCGCTTAGGGAGGTTTATAAAGCATTATGAAGCAGTATATAAGTCTAAGTGCTATTGCTATTCCACATGAGAAATTGCCTGTGAGCAGTCTTTTTGCACTTGGGGTTTCCTAAGTGGTTTAGTCTGCATGGAGTTCTCATAACCTGTGATCAGCATGACCATTTAACTGTTCTGTCTAAAGATGACGCGAATATCAGGAAGGAGCCAGGTTATTAAAGGTTACCTTACACACTGTTATCAAGTTGTGTTTCCAAAGGAAATTGTAGTAGAATAGAATTCTGAATCCTTTATGAAAGCAATGCTCTTTCCACGGGGGAATGAGGAGGAGCAATAAGGGAGGGGAAATTTCATCTGTCTTCGGTGGCAGTACGGTGACATTTCTTCGCTTTTCATGGCATTCCATTTAGAGATTACCTTTTCCTGGAGATGCCCATGCAACCCAATTTGGTCTAGTGGTTAAGGCACCAGGCAAGAAACTGAAAGAATGTGAGTTCGAATGCTGCCTTAGTCATGAAAGCCAGCTGGGTGACCTTGGGCCACTCACCCTGTTTCAGCCCAACTCACCTCACTATAAGAAGGAGAAGGGGACTATAGGAAGGAGGAGGAGGAGGAAGCAGTATTAGATATGTTTGCTGCTTTGAGATGTTTTGTAAAAATAATAAAGGCAGGGATATAAATAAAATAAAAATAAATAAAAGATTACAGCTGAAGATGTACCATTCCAGATGCAGGTTTGTGTATTTGGTATTTCTATAAACATTAGGTGCCATATTACAGAACAATATTCGTACAGTCAAAAATATGTGTGTGTGGGGATCACCTTTCTTTTTGTGAGCCAATGGTACCTTGTAATGATCTGATGATCCTTCTGCTGGTGGGAGATGAAAATGTGGCATGATAGAAGTTTCTAGATATTAGGTACCTAGAGCTAATAACAAAAATGCTCTGTGTGTAGTTGGTCAGATATGATACTCTCAGTTTCCTCTGTGTTTTTGTCTTCTCCTTCTGGGTCAGCCAAGCCACATCTGGGCATTTTCTGAAGCCTTTAAAAAGCTGAATGAATCATTACTGCTCTTCCCTTTGAAACTTCTAGAAGAAAACTCCCATTTTTCTCATTTCAAGTAGCTATAAATAAGTTTATTTTAAATCCATTCAAGTCCCAGTAGTCAATGGGAAGCAAAAAGTATTTAATAGTGTCACCAGCACCAGATCTATTCAATCTAAAGAACTGGAAGAACTAACGCTAACTTTGGCCATGAGACAGAGACAAAAGGGGGATTGGTTGGATTTTATTTTATTGCCTGTTTGTAATCTTTTACTGTGAAAGAATCTGAAAATCCTTGTTTTTTCAGGACTGTTGAACCCTCAGTGAGTTTCACTAGAAGCTGGGATTGGCTCAAGCAATTTTCCTGTTAAAAGTGTATACAAGGAGAATGTAAGCTGGAAGGACCCATCTATTTGCTGTAATCCTGCTTGCTGTGTATTCAATATATAAAAATGTATCTGAGACATCCAGGGTTACTCCATGTTATCAATGTCAAGATGGGCTGACAACCAGTACAAGCATTTGAACTGTTTCATGATCAGCCTTTTACTGTGTGGACCAACTTGTTGGCCAACATTGCTGCTATTTCACTGTAGAAATTTGAATGGTTCCTGGACTTTATTACAGATGGACATTGCTAATCTTAGATACCTTCTGGCAGGCTTCTGCAGATGCTTCAACATGTAAGTGCCAACCTAGCATTGTCTGCAGATAGTATTTTGTTTTAGACTCTACTGTGTGTATTCCTGGCTTCTTCAGTAGGAAATTCCCTTTCTATATATGATATTCATGGAACTATTGGGAATTTGAAGCCACAAGATGTTGCAAGGTGAATTTAGCTTGTGGATGTATTTAATGAAAAAGAAGAACCATTAGACTGTAGTGCTGTTAGTGCTGTTACTGCATCCCAGACAGTATTTAGTACTATTATCTTCTGTGTTGTACACATGGCTCTTCTTGTCAAACTATAACAAAAGTCTTAATAAAAAGATCTGGGAACTAAATTACAACTTTGGGTATTTTGCTGTTGCCTTTTTAAAAATAACTTGTTTGATGAACCACCACAACTAGTATAAGGTTTCATTGGATTGTCATGACAGTGATATGGATCTTGATTATCTACACAAGACCCTTGCATTCATGTTGTAGCCTTTCACACTCTCCAGCACAGTCCCTGAGGAATCAAGTCTCAGAAACCTTTTGATGCATAAACAGGACACTGATCTTCTCAATAACTGCTCGATAGCCACTTTAATTGAAAGTGTTTGTACACCACTATATGTTAGCTCTTTCTGAAGTAGCCAACAGAAGTTAGATCTTCAGCCAAGATTCTCAAAAATGTGACCCTCAGTATGAATAGTTCCAGTGGGACATCCAGGAAACAACTGTCTCTTTCCCATTCCATAATGCAAAATATTTCACTTTGATTTTCTCCCAATGTGGCCAATTGTATTAAGTGGCTGTGCCAGGGGATAATAGAGAATCCTGCTTTGGGCATGGTTTATATATCACACACTTCCCTAAATAAAAACTTTCAAAATGCCATGTGTGCATTCTTCCTTCTGATAGAACATGCAACCTCATGTTTTGGATGAAAGTGAGCCCTATGAATTACTCTCCTCTCTCAGAAATGACAGTGTCTATCTCTTAGGTATAATGTCTCTGATAAATCTCTGAACAAGATACCTACACTTTTTTTAAAAAAAAAATGTTAACATAGTTGCACAGGTTTTGTAGCACATATCCCAATCCTTCCCACTCTGGCAACTCAAGGTGGAATATAAATAAATGTCTGTAAATCCTTACAGAATATACACAAAACAAATATAAAAATCAACATTAAAAAAATATGCCTTTGTGGATCAGGGAGAAGATTCTGTTGCTCTCTGCCAAAACAAATGTGAAATGAAATGTTTCAAAAACATTTAAAACTAGCATTCTCTAACCGGATTCCCTCCCAGCTTGGGGAGCTCGTCATTCCAAGCCATCATGGCAATTGACGGGAACTATAGTCCAACACTGCTGGAGAGTACCAAAACTGAGAAAAGCTAATTTAGTGAAATATCAGGTTTCAGTTCTTCATCAAAGGCAACAAAACCAAGCTGCACTGCCAGCTGCATGTTGCAGCATCGGTATATTATTAGAGCAGTTTATATACCGTCCAAAGCTATTATATCACACTGGCTGCCAAGCAGGAGGTCCTTTTACATAATAACATGAACCCAAATTGCTAAGTAAGATGATTGCTTGTTTGCATGTATGTTAAATGCAGAGTCATCCAAGAAATGGGATTGAATCACTGGGGAGCATTGCCTTTTCAACTCCCTACTTAACTGCTTTTTATATTATGACTTGAGAGACGTACATTCCCATAGCAGGCATTATTTTCCCTATAGCCGCCTCCTGTCTGGGCTGCTACCATTGAAAATGTTTTGAGTGGCACTGTTGTTCCTCTGTCTGCTTCGGTTATGCTTGGTAGCCTGACTGAAGAGAACGCTGGAAAAAGTCAGGAGGAGGACAATAGACAATAGAGGTGGGATAAAAAAAACAACTGTTAGCTTCACAAGGGTCCAATATGAAATGGTTCATCCTAGCTAGAGCACCAATTCTTGGCTAAGAGACCAATCTAAACCTTCTATTCCAATTCTCCTGCTGTAACATTCTTCTCAGTGGAAAAGTTAGGGGCAGAATTGACTTGTCTCTCAGTTCTGATTTAAGCTTCATATTTTAGCAACAGCAAGTATGCTGAAATGAATTCTTTCTATATCCCATTGCCCTAAAAACCCAACACTTGGAAAGATACCAGTTTGGCTGCTGGCACCAAGCCCTCTCATCTGAAACCCCAGCCATCAATCTGGGGGGGGGGGGAACTAGCATCAAATCCTAAACAATTGCACTGTGGAAGCTGGCCAAGAATCAATTACAGATAAAACTTCTCTGGGAAATACAAAAAGAAACTATCTAGTTCCACTGAAATGAGGAACAGCCATTTGTAAGGATGTCCTGAAAATGGTGTCACTGCTGAATCTGTAATGGCTTTGACTACATTGCTTGGGCACTAATCATATTATATTGCAGGGCCTATTTCTAAGTTTGCTACAGATCAATAAGAACAGCTCAAGTTGTCTGTATTTGGAAGAGATTAGAATCATTTTGCACCTGGGACCAGATTCCTTGATGGCTGGGACAAAGATATAATTGCAGGTAGGTCTAAACAGCTCTTCAGCCCTGAATGCAGCTGCACAGGAGTTCTACTACAGCTGGGTAACCAAATGGAGTTCCAGGGTCCTTCAATTGCATTTTATATAAATATTAACAATGGCCAAGTCCACACATTATGTTAAGTCATGACTTCATTAATTATCATTTGTTGAACAACCCCTATAAAGACTGATATTGCTTAATATATTGCATGAACTCATATATAATCTTCCCCAAACCTGGCTGCTGTCCAACAAATGTGTCCTAGATTTTTAGGCTAGTGTACAGTATGCTAGCTAGTAATTATGATCCTAACACTGAAAGGACATTGCATTGGGAATTCTATGGAAGGCTACAATATTTTGCAGTCAAGAACTGGTGGCCCTTAATTATAAGGTATGATACTTAAAATGACTACTAGTTCTCTTAAACCACCCAGAACTTTGAAAGAGAACTGCTGTAATAAGCAAGCAAGTTACTTGCCCATCCAGTGAAAGCCATATGCATATGAGTTCGATCAGCATTCATTCATCTCAGATGCAATCCTTTTTTCCCTCTGTTTTTGCCAGTAAAGTCCATAGGCTCTGGGAGTCCTCTCTCTTACATGCCAGGGTAGGGAGTGGGAAGATGCCAGATGAGGTGATGAGAACTTCCAAATAATATATGAAGGCAGGAGACAGAGCTAGAGTATGTAGACTGACAGTTCTATGGGCACAGCCTCCCTTGCTGCTACAAGAATCCAAAATAAATATGTAGCAGTGATATATATATATATATATATATATATATATATATATATATATATATATATATATATATATATATATATATATCACTGCTATTGGGTTTAAATCCTAATTATAATAGTTATTGCTCCTTAGTTTTGTAGTTCTGAATGGAGAGAGAAATGATAGTTAATATGCTTAATTTGTTGAAGACAAGAATGCAAGAGGAGAGACTGTATAATCCCAAAACACATTCCCAGTTGCTCAAGCATATACTTCCAAAACAGAACAGTGAATACACAAGAGCACAACTGAGTGGAAACAAATTGGTAATGAGGAACAGAAATAAAAATGCCAACCATTATGTAGAGTCAACATTTCCCTGACAGAATTTCAGTGAGCTTTCCCTAACATGGAGATGACGGAATGAGAAAAACATATTTGTTGAACATTTATGTGCCAGGCATCTGTTAAGGCATAAAGCCTCTGCAAAGGAAAGGCAATTGTTTCTGCCAGCACAAAGAAGGATGTACTTTAGTGTGCAAGTGACTTTCAAGTGCAAAAGAATGAGGGGAGAAAAAAAAAGCAGAGCAGCAAGGCTTCCTTTGTGCATCAGGACAGAAACCCAAGAACTTTATACTTTTAAGTGCACTATAAGCATGAAAGCAAAACACAGCATCTGGCACGGAAAGGATTTTTCTAAGGGAAGTTCATGCAGTGGGCTCTGATCTCTATTCTCTTGCCTCATCATCTCCACAAGCAAAAGGGATAAAACCTGAATGTTTCAGAGTCAAGGTTTCTCAAATTAATTCAGAACATGCATACAGAACTTCTTCAGCCGGGCCTTTTGAATGGTTTTAAGGACATCTCTGTGTTTATGCACGTAATTATGGTTTGAATTGCTATGATTTTGCTCTTTCTATTGTTATTGTGCCTTTTTAAAACATAATTTTATTAAATATTAAAATATTAAAAATTAAAACTTATTTAATAATTTTTATTAATGTTTTTTTTTAAAAGGGAAGATAAAAACCAATACAAATTAATGCAAAGTGGAAAAAAAGGAAAGAAAAGAAAGGTAAAAGTGCAAGAAAGGAAAGAAAAAATAGAAAAGATAAAAATTCAAATAAGTAGCTCCAATCTTCTTTACAGCAGTTGTAAATACAATTATCAATTCATCTCTTACTCTATGGTTACGACATAATTATCTTCTTTCTATTGTCTATCCTGCCTAATCAAAACCATAAATCATAAATTTATTTTTTTTGTTTCGTACAAAAAGTGTGTAAGGGTTTCTAGTTAGCAATAAACATAGATATTGTATTTTTTTTAATCAAAAAAGTCAATTTAGCCATATCTGCAAGTTCCATTACCTTCACCAACCATTCTTCCATTGCAGATAATGCCGCTTATTTCCATGTTTGGGCATACAATATTCCATTATTTTTTTCCAGTATTGTTGTTGTATTGTTCTATCCCAGCCTATTGCCGTCCTTGTTAAAGGCACAAGGACCAACCCCTGCTGATACAATAGGCTGGAAACGTTAAAACAAAACAAAATCCCTTTTATTTGGGTGACAATCCTGTCAATAAGTCCAAAACACAAACAGCAAACCTCAAGTCCAAAGGAAGGAAATAGTCCACAGGAACACGTTGCAAACAAGNTCTGACTCCTGCTCCTCACACAGCTGAGCTTCATCAGAAACACGACTGGAGGGGCCAGGCTCTTCATCAAGCCGTGAGTCTTGTAATTCATCAGAGCCTCCCTCTGACCCTGATGGCCCCTCAACAGCCTCCTCCACCTCCTCCTCAGATTCCTCAGACTCAGCTGTTGGGAACACAGGCTGGCACGGAATCACAACATGTATTATCTAATATGGATTGTCCAAATTGGGTGAAATGGTGGGATATAAACAAACAAACAAATAAATAAACATAGTACAAAGATCTAGGAAAATTATGAAAAATACAGGTGTTCTGAAAAATACAGGGTGGGGAATGGAAGGATTTTATTCGAATGGAATCCTTCCATTCCCCACAATCCAGTCAGAGCTGAAAATTCTTCTTG